AGACGGCGCGCGGAGTACTGGCGGGGCATAGCCCGGGTCACCGCTGTGGACGTAGGGGACACTATACCCGGGCATCTTTGAGACGGTGGTGGCGGCGAACAGAAGGAAAGAAAGAGTAAGACGCGCCTGGTCAACGTGTCTTTGATTTTCCCACGATCGCGATTATTATTAATTATTATTTAAGACTTCTCGCGTCGCGCGTCCACCTTCAACCACAACTTTCACCATCCCCCTTCTACCTACACGCATACCCCCTTCCTTGTACGCCAAAACTCGTTCTACGCTACGCTATGGCTTATGTCTTCAAACGAGGTATGTACCCGCCGCCGTTGCCATCAACATCGTTGACACCCTTGCCTCCCGGCCTCTCCTTCGCGCAGATGGGTTAGTGGCCTTTTTACGCGTCATTAGGTGCATCACTGGGCAGGACTAACCGTGTTAACCTCTACAGTCGCAAGGAACGCGTCCAATTTGACAAAGTACGCGTCGTCTCACTTTTCGCATCGACCTCAGCTGATGGTACGGCCTAAACAGATCACTGCGCGTATCGAGAAGCTCTGCTACGGTCTCGACACTGAATACGTTGATCCAGTGGCGTGCGTAGATCTACGAGCAACCTTTTGGCTTTCACTAAGGTCATTGCAGGATTGCGCAGAAGGTCATTGCGGGTGTCTATCATGGTGTCACAACAGTGGAACTCGATGTGAGTATTAGTTACGCAAGTCTCCCGCGTTTCGCTCCAACTTTTCCTCCTAGAACCTTGCAGCAGAGACCGCTGCATATATGACCACCAAGCACCCGGACTACGCTATCCTAGCAGCCCGTATCGCGGTCTCAAATCTGCACAAGGAGACGAAGAAGAGCTTCTCGGCCGTCATCAAGGATCTCTACGAATATGGTTCGTACATTTGCGAAGTGAGAGATCCCTGTCGACTAACTCGGAACTGCTCAGTGAACCCCAAGAATGGCCGACCAGCCAGTATGATCGCGAAGGACGTGTACGAAATCGTCACGGCCAATGCTGAGCGCTTGGATTCAGCAGTTATCTATAGCCGAGACTTCAGCTACAACTTGTTCGTAACCTCATGAAACCCAGGGGGATGTACTGACATTGTCGTGCTTTAGCTTCGGGTTCAAGACCCTTGAGCGGTCGTACCTTTTGAAGATCAATGGTCGGCCCGCGGAGCGGCCACAGCACCTGCTCATGCGTGTTGCTGTGGGTATCCATGGTGCAGATATCGATCGTGCAATCGAGACCTACAACCTCATGTCCGAACGGTTCTTCACCCACGCTTCGCCAACGCTCTTCAATGCCGGCACACCTAACCCTCAGCTCAGTTCGTGCTTCTTGGTATGCATGAAGGACGACTCGATTGAGGGCATCTACGATACCCTGAAGAGCTGTGCCATGATCAGTAAGACCGCTGGTGGGATTGGTCTTAATATCCACAACATTCGTGCTACTGGGTGCGTTCTCTTCCGGTTATACTGTAGATGTCTCCTAAGTGCCTATGTCCTACAGATCGTACATTGCGGGCACTAACGGTTACTCGAACGGTATTGTTCCGATGCTTCGTGCATACGATGCCACCGCTCGCTACGTGGATCAAGGAGGCAACAAGCGTCCTGGTGCCTTTGCTATTTATCTTGAGCCGTGGCATGCTGATATCTTCGAGTTTATCGACCTCCGTAAGAATCACGGCAAAGAAGAGGTTCGCGCTCGTGACCTCTTCTATGCCCTCTGGATCCCCGACCTTTTGTACGTCGAAGCTTTCCCTCATCGCAACAGTGCTTGTATTGACCTCAATTGTATAGCATGAAACGTGTCGAGGCCAACGGCAAGTGGACTCTGTTTTGCCCGAACGAGGCCCCTGGTCTGCACGAGGTCTGGGGTGCTGAGTTTGAAGAGCTGTACGAACGTTACGAACGTGAGGGCCGTGGCCGCAAGACCATCGAGGCGCAGAAGTTGTGGTACGCCGTTTTGGAGGCGCAGATCGAGACCGGTGGCCCGTTCATGCTCTACAAGGACTCGGCCAATGCCAAGTCTAACCAGCAGAACCTCGGCACCATCAAGTCCTCGAACCTCTGCACAGAAATCATCGAGTACTCTGCGCCCGATGAGACTGCCGTTTGCAACCTCGCATCCATCGCACTGCCGTCTTACATCGAGAACGGTCAGTACAACTTCCAGAAGTTGCACGACATCACCAAGGTCGTCGTCTACAACCTCAACCGCATCATCGACGTCAACTACTATCCGACCCCCGAGGCACGCCGCAGCAACATGCGTCACCGCCCAATCGGTGTCGGTGTGAACGGTCTCGCGGATGCCTTCATGGCGCTCCGCATGCCTTTCGATTCACCTGAGGCACGCCAGCTCAACAAACAGATCTTCGAGACGATCTACCACGCAGCTGTCGAGGCGAGCAGCGATATTGCTGAGCGCGATGGTCCATACGAAACGTACGAAGGTTCGCCGGCAAGCATGGGTCAGCTACAGTATGATTTGTGGGGTGTTACTCCTTCCGACCTCTGGGACTGGGCTAGCGTGAAGGTGAAGGTGGCCCGCACTGGTCTTCGCAACTCCCTTCTTCTGGCTCCCATGCCCACCGCTTCTACCAGTCAAATTCTAGGCTTCAACGAATGCTTCGAGCCCTACACCAGGTACGCAACCCGGCTCCTGCAAGTCGAGAGATGAGCTGACATTGCCAACAGCAATATCTACACTCGACGCGTCCTCGCCGGCGAGTTCCAGATTGTGTGCCCTTGGCTACTTCGCGAACTGGTCGACCTCAAGCTCTGGGACGACACAATGAAAAACATGATCATTGCCAACAACGGCTCGATTCAAAGTATCATCGGCATTCCCGACGACATCAAGGCGATCTATAAGACTGTCTGGGAGATCTCGCAGAAGAAGGTCCTCGACCTCGCCGCGGACCGCGGTGCGTTCATCTGCCAAAGCCAGAGTCTGAACGTGCACTTGCAAAGCCCGACGGTCGGCCAATTGACGAGCATGCACTTCTACGGCTGGAAGAAGGGTCTCAAGACGGGCATGTACTACCTCCGTACGCGCCCTGCGGCGCAGGCGATCCAATTCACCGTCGACCAGAGCATCCTTAAGGAGGCTCAGCAGCTTCGCGAGCTCAAGGCGGCTGGTGCCAAGCCTGCGAAGGCTGACGTTTTTGCGGTGTCCGCGCTGTCGTCGCCGTCCACGCTGTCGTCTCCCGCTCCGTCGACGCCCGCGGAAGATTCCACGCCTGCACCGCAGCTGAACATCGAGAAGCCTGTCGCAGCGAACGTTGCGCCCGCCGCGTACGTCCCGTACGAGGACATGTCGCTCGATGAGCGCACGCGCAAGGCCGCTGCGGAGGACCCCGAGTTCGCAGCTGCGCTCGTGCGGCAGAAGGAGCGCGAGTACGAGCAGGCGAAGCTGATGTGTTCGCTTGAGAACAAGGAGGCGTGCCTGATGTGCTCTGCCTAAGCTCTCCCTGTTTCCGCTCCGTCCGTCGCTCATCTGTTCCTCGCTGTGGTGTTTTCGCTAGTTTGCATGTCGTGTTCTCTCGTCCTCCCGGTTGTGTCTCGTACGCGCGCGTTGTAGCATCTCCCTCATGTACTCTGATTTTGTGTAGGACCAAGTACTATCGAGTCGTGTAATAGCAGTATAAGCAATGATAGATGTTTATCTCCACACGATTCAGTGCGAAGAGTCTGTCAGTAGATCTGACTCGCAAGGCGAGACGCTCCTTGATAACTGTTTAACCAAAGACTTACGCTGGGATTCCGTCCGCTCTCGGAGGGGATTCGTCGTGCCATCAGCCTCCGCGCGATGTGACACCAGCAATTAATCTCGTGGGGTGGGCTTGCCAGTGGACAGCTCGATTGAGCCTGGCGCAGTCGTGATCTAGTATATGAGGTGGACAGGCGGTCTGGGGCCGTCGGTGGGAGCATGACTTCAATATCTGCTTTGTGAGACCGCAGTTTACGCGTATCACAAAGTGGGGGTTGACAGCAGCGTCCGCATGACGCGCAAGCGGTGGGACGATGGGCAGACATAACCAGCCCTGTGGCACAACTGTCCGCAGGGATATCTGACACCACATGGCTGTATCAATGATCCTCGCTTTGCTGGTTTGCTAGTCTGGCCAATCTGCAAACGGGAACTAAGCTGCATGTGCTAAAGCATCGATTCTCACGTGCATGATGTTGATGTGGGCTTAATGACTTGAGTTCAGACCGCGGTCTGAAAGAAATTCGACCCTTTCGACAACTGTCAGCCTAGCCCTTCGAAGCCGACTGTACGAGTTCAGATTCAAGCTCACGCCGAGCAACGCGTGTGCCTCCTCAGCCCAATGTGGATGCTGTGGATATTATGCCAAGTCTGTCGACGCGTCCTCGCGCCTGTCCGCGTGACGCGATGTACACACCGGCGGCGCTTTGGTATCGGCAATGTTCCCGCGAAGACTCTCATGATTCCTTTTCCCACAAGCTGTGGAAGACATTAGCAGACAATGTTACTCCCTGCGTGTGTGTCCCCATTGCAAGCCGATGCATTGCCGGCCAACCCAGGTCGACCTCTGCCGTATCAAGCTTGTTACTCAGCTGACGTCCTTCTCTTCTCTCCAGCTATGCCCCGACTGAAGAAAGTTCCCAGCCTCTGGCCATTGTATAAAACCCTGGGCTCTTCAACATGCCTAGTGACACCAACCCCTCCCAGTCTCTCTCATACCTCAGCAAGGGCCTCCAGAAACTACACACATAATGCCTCGCCTCAACGAGCCCCCTCCTCCGCCTCCCACCAAACTCGGCATCCACAGACCTCTCGCTTCTCGCGCAGGTGTCCATGTAGCTCCCATCCAGCTCGGTGCCATGAGCATCGGCGACAAGTGGCAGGCATTCGGCATGGGGAGCATGAACAAAGAGTCCAGCTTTAAACTGATGGACGCGTATTACGACGCCGGCGGCAACTTCATTGATACATCGAACAACTAGTGGGTTGCACGATATCCTGTGTGCATATGCGGCAATGACCAACCTCTCCACAGCCAAGATGAATCCTCAGAAGAGTTTATTGGCGAGTGGTTGGAGCAGCGCGGCATCCGCGACCAGATCGTGCTCGCCACCAAGTACACGACCGACTTCCGCCGCGGCAAAGGCGGCCAGCACAGTACCTTCGTCGGCAACAGTGTCAAGTCCATGCATGTTTCCGTCACTGCATCCCTCAAGAAGCTCCGCACCGACTACATCGACATCTTCTACGTCCATTGGTGGGACTATGCCACGTCCGTGGAGGAGGTCATGGATGGCCTACACACGCTCATCCAACAGGGCAAGGTCCTGTACCTTGGTGTCTCCGACACACCTGCATGGGTCGTCGCGCAAGCGAACACATACGCGCGGTGCATGGGTAAGACACCGTTCACGATCTACCAGGGCAAGTGGAGCATCATGGACCGCGACCTCGAGCGGGACATCCTGCCGATGTGCGTTTCACAAGGTACGTCTCGCCTGCCACGGCCCCGCTTTCAACAGACGTTAACGACTCGCCCGCCTGTCCCCAGGCATGGCCATCGCGCCGTGGAGCGTCCTCGGCGCCGGGAAAATCCGCACGGACGCCGAGGAGCAGCGTCGCCTCGAGTCCGGCGAGCAGGGCCGCCAGCTGTTTGACGACTGGAAGCGCACGCCGGAGCAGCGCCGGGTCTGCCTCGAGCTCGAGGAGGTCGCGAAGGAGGTCGGGGCGAAGAACATCACGTCGGTCGCGATCGCGTGGATCATGCAGAAGGCGCCGTACGTCTTCCCCGTCATCGGTGGACGCAAGGTCGAGCAGCTGCACGACAACCTCGAGGCGCTGTCGCTCTGCCTGAGCGACGAGCAAATCGCGCGTCTGGACAACGTCGTGCCTTTCAACAAGGGGTTCCCGTACGCCGACTTCGTGAGTACACCCTGCTGACTCGTCCGCAGGCCGAGTTGTGTTTAACCTACATTGTGCACAGGGAGATGGGACAGGCTTCAACTTCTTGCACGTGATTGCTGGACACTTCCAGCGGTGGCCAAGGGCCGGTCCTATCAGGCCCGAGCCTTCGAAATAGCAGACGCGAATTTTGCATGTCTCGACACCACCTGGAGCTTACGTATTTTAAAACTTATAAGCGTGACATACCCCCCCCTGTTTGCCACGCTAATTCGCGCAATTTGCGTAAGAGCCACTAGCACGCTGATATCTTTCTAAAATATACCAAGTATGCATTTGGAAGACCCCTCCTACGCCTGTAAGCCCCCCCGAGCGATATGCCCCGGGCGCTATCCTCCATCACGGTGATGGCTCCGTTATCTGAGCGTCATCCATCGGCCCCGCCACCAACACCGCCATCCCCTGATGGCACACACGGCGCCATCGCTCCCGCCTGCGTGCTCGCTGTGGGCGACGACGACGACGCTTCCCCCATGTATATACATCATTTTTATACCGTTTTTTCCCTGATTTTAAATGCAGTATATAGTACATGTTACTACTCTTAAAATACAAGCTACTCATTGCTAATAAGCCTAGTAATTGAAGCTCTCGGGCATGTAGGGCGCGCGAGGCTCGGGACTTGGCTCCGGTCTGTTCCCGCCGCGCGCGGTCGGGTGAACGCGGGCAAGGTCCAGA